TAGAGTTTTATGATCAATACAGATTCATGGTACCAAAGAGAACAACACCTCAGATTCCGTCGAACACCATGGAATTGCTGACAGCAATTTCTAGAGCGTTCTACAAATGCATGATCCAGTAAAGCATCAACAAGGAGACAACATCAACACCATAACCTTATTCAACGAATTCCAAACGGATCGCAAGAGGGGAATAACCCTTTACCTTTACATCTTGTGTTTGGCTCTTATAGATCGGAGATCAGCAAGAAATGGCGGCGGCGGCGGAGGCGGTCTCGGCCTCTAGATAGTTGCAGATCCTCTCGACGACCTCCCTCCCCTTGACGCTGTTCTGCTGGAACCTCTCGGCGCAGCGCTGCTCCACCTTCTCGGCGACGGCGGCGAGAGCCGAGAAGGGCTTGCACCGGATGCTGGTCTCCTGACGGAAGGCGGTCCACCCCTCCGGCCGATCAGGGTGGGGCCGGTAGGTGGACCGCTCCTCCACCTCGAGCAGGCCACGAAGGCTAGCGTTGCGGACCACGATCTCCATGGACCGCCCGCGCGCATCGACCACCGTGGACTCCACGCAGTGGCATACGACGGCGTCTTGGCCGAGGATCCGGCGGAGGAGGAACGGTAGCGGCGGCGATCGGACGGTGATGGAGCGAACGGCCTGGAGGCTACCGGAGTCGGGGTCGAGGCGGCGGTCGAGCGTGTGGACGTCGACGATGTGGGAGAGTACGGCAGGGGTATCGGGATCCGTAAATTTGCGCCACGCAGCCGTCGTCACGCGGTCCCACTGGTGGTGGTACACGTGCTCCTGGGTGTACGCGCGAACCATCGGGCGGCGCAGATTAAGGTTTTGCGGCAGGCAGAGAAGCCCAGGGGTTTTATGGCGGCGGTGGGCAGCTGCGATGGTGGCGGCATGAGGAGACGGAAATGGAGTGGAGAAAAGGAAGACGGGGGCGGTTTCACATTTGAAGACTGAAACGCCGTGTTGAGAAAGGCACGGTGTGAGTCGGGCGGCTCGGCCTAGTTGAGATGAGTTCGGGTTCGGATCTGAACGAGTCGGGCTTCACAATCGATCGGATATGGCTCGACTCTGACGGTTGAGTTTTTGTTAACCCGAGTCGGACATACGTAATGACGGAGAGTGTAATGCATCAGATGGACGAAACGATGCAGGTGAAGTAAGTAGCAAATGATGGTCTTTTAAGTTGATCGCCAGTCACAGTAGTACAAACACCAGGCAGAAGAAGAGGAAAGAGACGAAGAGATGTCGACGACAGGAAACATTATTCACTTCGAGGCTTCTTTCTTTTCTTCCTTTTCCTTGTGAGGCTACTGCAGGTAGAAGGCGAAGAAAGACAGGACGGAGGCTCCGATGGCGACCCCCACGGCGGGGGCGGCTGCGAAGGAAGCAGCACTGGCGGGGCCAGGGGCGGGGCCCTCAGCCGCCAGGGCGGTGGTGGCCGTGGCGGCAGCGACGAGGACGGCGCAGGCGATCTTTCTCATCTCCATTGCGAACGGGCGGGTGGGCGGCGCGAGAGTTGGAACGGAAGCCGCCCGAGCTGCAGAGGAGACGAGGGAATTAGACTCTGGGCTTGCCTCCCTCTTCTTTGGCAGGCCTGAGGAGGAATGGGAGCGAAGCGAGGGAGATCTTATAGGACCGTATTGACAGTTGCCGTGCTCTCTCTCTCTCTCTCTCTCTCTCTCTCTGAGAGCTGTCAAGGATTTGTGGCCTCTGGTTTTTCTAAGGGATCCATATTTTGAGGAATGTGTGGTGGCCATGTTTGGCAAGGGAAGGTTTACGTGCTTGCATTTGCATGGATAGTGGGGGGTCTGCTGACCAGGTTATGAACACCAGAAATTTCGAGTCCAATTTAGCACACAACAGGTGATTGTTTGATGGATTGTTTTGAATCGGACAACCACAACAATTAGAGCCACATTGCAATGATGCATCGAGTCAAAACTCCCTCATTCTTCAGCAGGCAGAATTGTTAGGAACAGCATCGAATTCAAATAGTGCTCGAGTTCAGGTCATCTTTCAGCTCACTCAATCAAGCTTCTCTGGTGCTGTCTACGTATTAATTAAAATTACAAAGTGTACTCAGCTGAGGAATTGGAATTGTAAGTACTGATCAGTAAATCTTGAGACCAATATGGCATATCCAGCAAGTATATAACAAAATGTAAGGAGTGCCGAAAATATACAACATAACAAATGCTAGAGAATTATAGTTTTGAGCTGCAGTTCCTGAATAAAATGCTAACAGGAAACTCATCAGACTCGGACTTTTAGAGCCTAATCCAGACTCCACAAATTATATATCCTGGTATTACAACTTTGATTACATCATGGATAATTATCATCATCGCTTTGTGAATCTTCATCATCCATCTGCATAAGTAGAAAACTCGCTAGTAGACTGCCAAGATCCGCATCATCAAGATCCTCAGATTCCCCTTCGTTGATATCTAATAGAGCAGCAAGATTGGCTAACTCATTCCCCATGACAAGTTGGTTTACAACGTCTTCTAGCTCCGCTCCCTCCATTACTTGTCCGTGCCGGTGTGGATGGGGTCTATATCTGTGAGGTCTGCATGTGTTTCGCCTATTTGTACTTGGCTTGTAAATGTGCTGGAAGACAATGCATACATCACTGGTTATAGCCAAAACCTTAACGAATGTGATTCATCGAATTGCAGAACAAGTACTGAAAACCTTAACGTCTTACAAAATGCGATGGCATCATACCACAATCTGGAATAAAATTAACAGATTACAGTACCTGGACTAGGGATGATGATTCATAATGTTTTCATGTGTTCTAAAGTGGAAAACAATCTCATATCATCATAATAAGCAAAAAAAAATTCAGGTTCTATGCTAGTTCATCAATACTAATTTGTGTACGGTCAAGAAACTCAGGCTAGAGGCAGAGTGATAACAAAATTCAATGTTAATTCACAGGTTTGGTTCTTATATAGCACTACAGACATATCCAACACATAAGAAAATGAAAAAGTCCACGGTATGTGACATACAATACTGTACATGTAATAACGCAATGAACTATCAATAGACCTATTTGTTATGAAGATGTAATCAGGATCTCATTTAAAACCATGGTTCGTTCGTCTTACCGGTCTATACCAGTGTACCGACCAACTATTGGTACGGTACATATCAAGTTGTACCGAGTCATACAAAGCATACTAACACATGATACATAGGGGTGTACCGATGTGCCACACATACCAATCTCCTGTTAGACCAGTATGTACTGTCCATACCAGGTAGTACACTATGGTATGACAAACCTTGTTTGAAACTTCATTTTGTAGCAAAAGCATGCAACACTAACATCTTTTGTTAGTGACACTTGGTGAAGTCCAAAAGGAAAAAAACCTATTCACTAACAAAATATATGAAAAAAAATAAACACAATTAAATATTTAGCAAAAGTGGAAAGGTCCTCTCTTATAATGGCTTCCTGTGCCTTTCCCAAGTATCCCAAGTACAAATGATAGCTTATATGAAAGAAAAGAAAAATAATGAATAGAGTTGAGATCCATTTTAGTCAATATGGTTTTGATCATAGACCATTTATACTCATGTCTAAAATAATTCTTATATTTTAAAAAACGTAACATATAAGCTCCTCCTGTCAAGTCTGAGTTAACAGACATTAGAATTTGCTTACGTGGTATGCTGATTCATAATAAATCATTAATATAATGACACGTGTAATTTAAGTTTAAAAAAGGGTTACGGTCCATTTTAGCCCCTGTAATTTTGGCCATGGATCACTTAAGTCCTTATGGTTTACTCATATATAAAATAACCCATATATTTTCAAAAACATAGCATATAAACCCTTCCTATCAACTTTGAGTTAACAGACGTCAAAGTCTACTTACGTGGCATTACTGACTCACAATAAGCCATTAATATAATGATACATGTAATTTAAGTTTTTTTTTAAAAACAGAGACCATCATCAATGGCGGGAGGAGGCATCGTCGTGGAAGCGACGACCAGCAACAGCACCGAGTCGCTGCTGCCTAGCAGGGCGTCGTATGTCTGTAGCCTCTCCCATGTTAACGACGAGCTCAGGAGCTTTCGATCTTACCTCAAGTGGATATGCGTCAACTAGTCAGACATTAGACATGCAATGATCTCCCGATCCCTTTTCCTCCTCCTGGGTGTCTTCATCCCCACCGCCTCCCACTTCGTCCCCTCCTGCGCCCCCACTCGTCGCGCCTACGACATGGTGGTCCAGCTCTTCCTCACCTTTGCCTCCGACCTCTCTTACCTCTACCTCTTCGTCTTCGTCCACAATGGCATTCGTCGCTTCCTCTTCCTCGATAAGATGGACCTTAAAACTTAAATTACACATATCATTATATTAATGATTTATTGTGAGTCAGCATGCCACGTAAGCAGGCTCTAACGTTTATTAACTCATACTTGACTAGAGGGACTTATATGCTACGTTTTTGAAAATGTAAGGGTTATTCTAAACACTAGTAAACCATAAGGACTTAAGTAGTCAATGGCCAAAATCACAATGGCTAAAATGGACCTTAACCAATTTTTAAACTTAAATTATACGTGTCATTATATTAATGGTTTATTGTGAATCAGCATGCCACGTAAGCATATTCTAACATCTGTTAACTCAAACTTGATGGGAGGGGTTTATATGCTACGTTTTTTAAAATGTAGGTGTTATTTTAGATACGAGTAAATCATAAGGGCTTAAATGGTCCATGGCTAAAACCACAAGGGCTAAAATGAACCTTAACCCTAATGAATATAATTCAACAAGTATATATAAGATGAGAACGATTGTGAAGATATCAACATATGACAACTATAATAGCCACAATAGCATAAAAATTGAATGGTGAAATTGCTATGAGAACTTTGCCCTTGAGCCGTACAAGACATTACTATGTCCTAGTATTAACTTATGTTTGACACAAGGTTTGTAATTTCGGTCCGTACTAGTGTACCAACCAATGGTTGGTACGATACGTACCGAGTGTACTAACGATATGCCTAAAAAATATAAAAAATAACTCCAAAAATACCTAAAAATAAATAAATATAGATTAGGGTTTTTTAAGTTGGAAATAAATATAAATTTAGTATAATTTTAATAAAAATAATCTAAATTAAGAAATAATATATGTCTTATTATTACATATGTCTTATGTGATATGGAAATATAAATGATTAGATGAAACTCTTTGTAACAAGACAAAGTGACACCACAAACATACAAAGACAATTTGAGAAACTTTCAAACATGTAGATTAACGGGATTTGATCTGGAATTTGGGGTACAAGTGCCCATGTTCACAGATCTCTAGTCTTCATCCATAGCTTGTCAAAGATAATTGTTACATTTTAGAAATGCATACTGACCAAGGAGTTCATAGTCATACTAGTAGAGGAAGGCTATACACCACCTTCCTAAGAACTTAAAGAATGAATTTATATAATAATCTAAGCTTTGCGTGGAAGGTGGTTTTCAAAACATATGTAGGAATATAATGTTTACTTGTAATGCCAACGAATAATTTGTTGCAAATGAGAAGCATTAAGTATTGTTGAAAGCTAGGATATAATGATATAACTATTTGTTCTCAAAGAAGCTTACATGTCTAGAGCTAGGTTACCAGTAGTTAGAATGCTAATCTTCTTCAGCTGTCAAACATGGACACCTGTAAGACACGCAAGCTTGTGTGCTAAGAGCCAACATTTAGTAGATGGAAAGTGCTAGATGGATGCCCTGACAGCCACACATATCCAACACCATGACATACACTAAATTCATCATTCACAGCATCGTACAGTCTACCAACATATAGACACACCATGGAGCGGAGGAAAATAGGATATAAGGAGAGAAAAGAAGAGGAAAGGAGAAAGGAATAGCTTATCACTGTCATATCCATGTCACTGATGTCTACGAAGGGCAGTGACAGATATAAAGAAAGACAAGGGAGATGGGGAGGGAAGATAGAGGGATAGAAGAGAGAGATCCCTAACTTCAAAACAGATAGACCAGTTGCCTCAACTCCATGACTTGAAGGATTCAAATCCAATCAACAGACAGACTACTTGTAGTGAGGATTCTACCGGCTGGTAATTTTGATAGGATTCCTGTTCCTCACATCACAACCATCCACAGACATGGGCCCCATCTACCAAGTCTCACATCCCAAGTCTTAACAAAAGACAAAAAACTGAAAGGAGGGGAAAAAAGGAAGAAAAGAAAAGAAGATGATACAATTTATATACACATTTACATGTTATACATGAAGCATTTCAAACTAGTTTTGATTCTTCAAAGATAATATATTTGAAGATATAATAAAAAGATATATATTTTGCATAAAGCATACGATGCCCAAAGAATAAGATCTCCTTCTGAGCAAAGTAACACTTCTCCCTTTTCGCGAATAAAGTATTCTCCCAACATACATAAACAATAATCTTTAAATATATATCTAGCATCCTTTTTTTTCCACTCTGGCCTGGTAGGCTGCTGCTTTTCAGATATATATCTAGAATGAAATGTACCACCTTGAAGCTAATTTTCAAGTTATTTGAACAGGTTCCCCATGATTAAAGACAATGACATGTGACACCCATGTCACGCAGAGGCATATGCATGTAACACCCATGTCATAAAAATCAAAGTGTAAACCATTTGTACCTTGTAGAAACAACTGGTTCCAAAGGGACATGTCCCATTTCCAAAGTCATAGTATTTACAATCAATCGACCTGCCAAGGAAAAGCTATGACTCAGACCACAGTGTGCATAATTAGACTAACAGAAAATGAAATTGGCGAACAAGGATAAAAAATTGATGATCCTCAAACTGTATATCAGCTAATATATGATTGTTTTCATTATTAGAGTAACTTCATAATAGTATATGATTATGTTTCATAATGAAGCATCGAACAACATACTTGTCCTTTGGTAAAATTATATATAATTATTATATATGATTAAGCATGACGAAGCATTACCCTGGAAGATTGATGTTAAATTTTTAGTAATAAAGATTCATTCCTTGTTATTTTATCCAGCATTTTCTCGTGGAATTTTAATACGATGGAAAAATAGAGAGTTCATCTGCAAATAAGTTCAAATTATAAACAAGGATAAGCTAGCCATCACTAAGGCTTTGGTAAGCTTGTATGTCAGAAAGTGTTACTTGACAATTTGCATTGCCTTTACTCATGGGAGCTGCTAGGCTGAAAAAGCTAAGCAAATTACCAAATTATATGATGATAATGCGAATACAGGTAATATACAACGTAGAGATGCATGTGCAGTTATTGTTGTTTATGTGATTTACACCCAAAAAAATGGTACCGATGTCAAAGATCATGATGCACACCAGAAGTCATAGACTGAGGAGGTCTGGCAGTTAATAAGAATTAGTATTCTTCTATGGTGTGACACTCATGTAAATCTTATTTAAGTGGTTTCGGAAGATACTGCCTAAGACTGAGCTAGATTATCGAGAAGAAAATTTTGTAATCCAAGTATATGTGTTTCCTTTTAAGAGGAACAAGAGAAAGTCAACAGATTGGCAAAAGGCAGAAAATATAATTAAACAACAGGAATTATAGACTACATGTCCTGTATCATAAAGTGTTGAAACCTCTTATGAAATGAAAAGTATGAGACTTGTTACACTTAGGAACAAAAAAAATGACATGTATAGGGATACATTGCTAAGCATTAGGTTAGTTACTTCGTAGTAAATGTCTGAACATCATATAATCCAAATGAAAAAGAACATCCTAGGTTAGTGCAAATAAAATGCATAACAACTAGAATCAGTACGCATAAAATAATAAAACTATACATACTTGAGCTTGTTTTTGTAGGTATCAATTATCTCTTGTTTTTCTTCCTTTGTGGAGAACCAAGTGACACTGGGAACAACAAAGTATGAATGCTTTCGGCACACTGGGCAGGCCCTTAATGCAGTGTTCAAATCAATCCCAGAAGCTGGAGAATTCCTACGCCAATTCCGAATACATGAAATGCAGAATGGGTGATCACACTCGGATAACATACCAAACTTCCGTTCAGCATCTGTGGGTTTAAACAAAACAATCTCCAGGCAAATACTGCATTCTATCTCCTGACTATACTTTAGAGTTTCAAGGAGCTTGTTCTTTTTTTGACCGATCATTGAGTGCTCTTCTCTTTTACCTGAAGAGAGCGGTTCACAAATAGAGCAAGTCTTTGTCAATGTCAGTAAACCTTTTGCAAAATGCAAATACTACAGGCAATCATAAATTCACTGGGAACAGTACTACCTGGCCCGATGCGTGCGTGAACATGGCTGCTCTCATCACTCAGGAAAGTATCAGCTCCAACTTTCTGGGTTTGTGCATGCTCACAAGGACGGATATGGGATTGGCTTGAAGCTGGTAAATTCAATGGAATTCTAAATGCTTGAGTAGTTTCTCTGCTCAAAGAAGCTCTAAAAGGACAAGCAACTTGCGAAGAACTGGATGCATGGTGAGATATTGATGATGCCGGATCAGATGTTTCATGACAGGAATCTCCAACATGGCTATACCTGCACCTACTACCATAGATGCAGAGACCTTTTTGATAAAAGGTACATGCCTATAATCATAAATAATCATTAAAGCAAAGCTCTATGCACACTAGGAAAGTAAGGTAACTATGCTGAAAAGCATGACCTAAGAGGTTAATAACATTACTTTATTGGATCGATCCCTCCAATCATGTGAAAATTCACAATACTCTGCTTTTAGGCATGTTCCATGTGCAAAGTACTTGCAAAGAACCCTGGGCTATCAAGAACATGTATTAGAGAAAATAAAGCAAATGCTCATTTTTCATAAGCTCGTAATAAGGTGTTTGTAAACTAAGCAAATATATGCAATATTGCTTATATAGAAATATTGTTTGATACTTGTGACAGTAAATGTCTGAAAAAGTCATACAAAAAAGGCATGTTTAAATGTCTGATATTTGTGCTTTGACTCGGAGATATTATGCCAACCATAGGAAAGCATCTGTTCCACATAAGATAGTTATTAGGTATCCGGTGTTTCAAGAAAGAAAATTACAGAACTGGACCAAATCATTTCCCATCTTGGAGGTCAAATAGATATAAGTGATCATTTGATTAGATCTTCAAATTAAGCCAAAAGTTTTTGAGAGTTCTGAGAATGAGATATTAGATCTTAAATTACAGATTAGATCCAAAGTTTATAGATCCTTAAAAATTAAGACTTTGAAAGGAAAAATTTGCATAATGTATTAAAAATAACCTACCCCTTCTTGTTGACCTCGATCAACAAATAATATCAAATTTAAGCCAAAACTAAAAACACCATAGTTTTTTAGTCAAGAAGTTCTAAACATCAGCTCCCAGCCATATCATCAAACTGAATTCAATGAAGATACGGCCCATGGAGCTTCCAAAAAACAAACTTCCAAAATCCAAAACTAGAAGTACCTAGAAGGCTAGAACAGTGGACCATCACGAGTTGTTATTCAGAATAGTGTTAAAAATAGTGCAAATTAAGCAGCCTCCATAATTCTATATCTCGTTGTTAAATGGTGATACTAAACCTCATCTGCTCTTCAAAACAATTCCTAACATATGCCCTCAACTTGAGAAAAAAATTTCTAATAACTCGAAACCAAAGTTAAAAATGCCCTGCTTTCCTTTGTTATCGTCATCCCCTGCCCTCTATAACTGGTTTGAACTGCCAATGTCTTTTTCTGCTGGTTTAAGTCCTCATATGCCCATTATAAATTAAACAGCTAGAATATTAATTGAGATATCACAACCAACAAACTATTTTATCTCAAAAACCTATTTTGTCCCCACTTGAAGTTCTCTAGTCTGTCTCAAACTAGTCTTCTACAGTCAATATCTTACGCATCCGACCAAGATCATATACCCCGCTTAAAAACCCATAGAAATTCGACATCAATAACAATCCCCCAAAAACATCTTCCTAAACAATCCCGAACCATCAAACTGAATCAGTAACGCATCGAACCATATAATTCCCAAAATTCAAGCGTTACTATGAGCATCTAAAAAAAGCCCAAAAAAAGTTTAACAAAGCAGAAAAATCCACCGACACAACCGGAAGAATCATCGAATGTTTTTTTCTCGAAAAGCATCACAAAATTCCATCGATCAAAAACAAAAAACTGCAAAAAGATCGGGTAGTAAGCTGTCGAGAACTTAGATACCGGTCACGGGTAAAGGATCAAGGTGATATCACCTTCTCGGCATCGCGGGAGGGAAGAAGTGTAGACGACGAACTCGAAGCCGGAGGAGTGGAATGGAGAAAAGAGTAAAGAGTTTACCCAATGTATTGTATTCTGTTTTCTTTTAGGGCTCATTGCTGTCCTCCTCGTGTCCCAAATGATTCTCGTAGTTTTCCTGAAACTACGAAAATGCCTCTATCAGAGATCACCTTAGAGAATCAGAGAAGTGACAGTAATGTAATTCTGTTGAAATTCCAAGGGTAGATAACTATTGGTGTTGTCGGCTCAGATAAAGTGGCATCTTAGAGGTACCAACCGATGACTTGGGTAAGGGAATGTATTTGAGATAATTTATGTAGGTCCGCCGGTTGTCATGGGCAGGAAATTCGGGTATATTTTCGGGCTAATGTTCCGGGTGTGGAAAGAAACATATAAAAGTCAAACGAGGAAAGCGTCGACCAAAACGATATAAGATATCACTAAAATAGTACGAGATGGAGGTTTGGTTCGTTCGTTCACAACAGCGTTACGAACACGGCGGGTTCTTTGGCGGTTGCAAAATAAACCGCTACGGCTTGATATATATA